TTAGAGCTGACAAAATGCAGATAAATATACACTTAGGATCCACTTCTGAATGGATTCATTAGGAGTGCATCTAACTGGCCTTAGCCAAGCAGTTGATGCAACAGAATCCAAATCTGTCTGCGTGGGTTCAAAACCTGCTAAAGATGAAATTGTCAAATAATCGTCAGAGTCAAAATCTGTTTCTCTTGGACTGCTCAGGTTCAAAACCTGCGAGCGATAACATTTTTATTTTATGAAATCACACCTTGACATTGACTCATGTGTACTTTCACATTGTAGCTTGCACTCCCAAACACCTGCTTCATATGAAGAAGAAGAGCAGATTGCACATCAAACTTTCAAGTTTGATCCTAATAACCTGGGGAATGGGGATGTTTTTGATGACACCAAGTGTAGCATCACAAGAAGTACTGACCAACTCCATATTGAGCTTATGGTCTGAGCAGAGGTTAATACCTAACGACTACCAAATTGTGTGCAACATGACCACAACTTTGGTGCCTTGGTCAAGGATGCAGGTAAGTACCTGGGCCTCATATGTTATTGCATGAATGCAATGTAGTGGCATGAAGTGATCAATGACTACTTTGCTATCATTGTTTTGCATACAAACACTGTTGTATGCACCCAGCCATTCTTCCGTTGCTGGGTGTTCAGATAGCTCATTGACTGAAACAGCACCAACAGTTACCCATTTGGTAGCTGTCATCTTGTGGAACTGCTTCCTGATCTCAGGTGATATGGCACATAACTCTCATACAGGAATGTTGAGACTGGTGTCGAGTAAGCGCTTAATGATGCACTTATCCACCTCCTTGTCTTCTAATGCATGCAAATACCTATATTGACCAGTAGGTGTGGTGGTGGCAGTGGGCAGATTGGTGGTGGATTTGGATGTTTCTGATGATACGGTGGGTAGTGGTCGTCTCAGTGGTTCCTTGCAGTGTAGAGACCAATATCTCTGTGGGCTTGCAGGGATCTAAATTCCCAGTGTCTCAATCACCTCCTAATATAGCACGTCTCATATCTCACCCAGCACACTCAAGTGCTTCATCAGCCGCTTGTGTGCACAAGCACTTTGGTCGCGCATTCTTGGTTCTGTTGCTCATCCTCTGTCCATCCATTCCATGTCTATTCGGTTCGTCGGTGTTTATTCCTATGATATTTCCATTTATTCTGACATATCTCTGACGCTTATGGACATATTCCATATATTTTGTCATGGACCCTTATATTACATATTATCTCATATCCACCTCACTTCTCAGTTCACTTTAGCATTTGACAGCACTTAACACTACTTAGTATATATACATATGTACTTGCGCTTAAAACTGTATACTGAGTACCTTTCTGCCCGCACATCATTGGACTCTAAGTCTAAGTTCTCCCTCATATCTATCAACCAAAACTTAAGTATCTAAGTACAATACGAGCACCCACCACCATATATTACCAGAGACTCTGTCAATTAGTTTGAAAACTAATTAACAGTCACTCCGCTCCACCACCCGCACATGCACATCGCTTCTGCTCAGCATGCGCTTCCATTATAAGTCGCTCATTGCTCACTATCACTCATTAGTGCTTCGCTCATCGTCATGTGCCTTACCAGGCTTGACCAAGTGTCTGGTCCAGTGTTTCCCTCCACATATAAACTTAGAGGAACCTTCTCAGTAGCAATCCCCTTTGGTCAACATACATCTCGCTCATTGAGGACTACTTGACTACATCTCATACTACCCATATAATCCCACTACCAATTCCTCTTCTACAGTGGGGAACCAGACCAAAAGTCCAGTTCAAACTGTAGCATTAAGTGTGTTTGGGCAGACGTTAGACGGAGCTAGAAGAGAATGTATTATCTCAGTCTCGGTAAAAGGACTCTGTGTACATTGGTAGCTACCTAGAAGAGAATGTATTCTAATAGTAATGTTAGCTTGTGTACAAAAGAATGAAAATATAAGGCTCATATCTCAGTCTCGGTAAAAGGACTGAGATGTTTCTCCGGCGCAAACACTCTTTTAACATACAGTAAAACTCGGAGAGAAAACATATCATTCTGAAACATACGTGGATGCAAGGCTCAGCTGATGTCATTGTGTGCTCATACCTGTTCCTTCATGTCCCAATGCATTCAGACGTTCAGCTTCCAACACAAACCATGGTTCAGGACTGGACCACAGCAGCACTAGCACCACTGTGCTAACAAAATTGCACTGAACAGCTGTCCAAGGTGAATGATTAATCATAACACTCATGAGAGAACGTGGGGTCTACAATCCCAGAGGACTCAATCTGATTCTGAATGCTGCATGTTCTTGCTCTGCCTTAACTCTGTCTCCCCATCTCCTTGCCTGCCCCAGAGCATCAGGGAAAAGCTCCCCAAAGAAATTTCACTAAATTATGATAATTTTTGATTATTTCCTCAAATTATGGGCTTTAGGAAAATTAGAAGAATTATGCAGGCTAGACAGACTTTTTTACCTCCTTCTCCGTCAATTATAATTATCAAAAATTTGATGATATTTCATGCGAAAATGTTGTGAATTGCAGAAAGTATTTGTTGAATTCTGGTTCACAAATCACACACATCGGACAATTTTACAAGAAAAAACAACTGATATTTGATTACATAGAAGATACACATAAAAGTAATTACTGTATAGCTACAATTGACCGCAAATACCTAAGTGGATGAGCATAAGCTAATAAAGCTACATTAGTGAAATGTGCAAGTGGATTTATAGAAAGAATGTATGGTGATCCCTGGAAGGAGGATCGACACACTGTGAATGGTGAACGACAATGTCAATCAGCATGGCTCGAGCTCGAAGGAGGATCAACACACTCACCCGCTGCAAATGGCAGACAATGACCTGGATCAGCATGGCTCGAGCTCAGAGGAGGTTCAACACACTCACTTCCTGTGAATGGTGGACAACAACTTGTATCAGTGTGGCAGTTGCTCGACCGACGATCAACACACTCACTTCCTGCGAACAGCAGACAATGACTTGGATCAGCATGGCAGTTGCTTGAACGACGATCAATGCACTCACTTCCTGTGAGTGGCGGATAATGACTTGTGGCAGTTGCTCAAACAACGATTGATGCACTCACTTCCTATGAATGGCAGACAACAACTTGGATCAGCGTGGCGGTTGCTCAAATGACGATTGACGCACTGGCCTGCTGCGAACGGTGAACAATGACTTGGATCAGCGTGGCTCTTGCTGGAACGAGGATCGACACACTCACTTCCTGCAAACAGTGGGCAACGACTTGGATCAGTGTGGCTCTTGCTCAAACAAGGACTGACACACTCACAATCCAATGATGAGCGCAGAAGGACAACTATGAACTACCTAGTTTGTAGTTACAAATGTTAAATAGAACTTTCAAAAAAATCTAAGACATACCTATCGGCTTGATGGTTGAGGCTGACAATGTTGAACATTGAGGAATGAGGGATCGACATCGGAAGTTCAGAAAGTTTTCAAACCAAAGTCATGCGAGCCAAACAAATACACACAAATGGTTCAATATCAACCAAGCAGTCACATGAGCAAAACAAATATGTGCAAATGATGAACTTCAACAAAATTTTACTCAGTTGTTCATTGCTTGTCCGCTTGTTCTAGGTGCGCATGTTTTTTTTTCTCATTTACTACTATCTTTAACCTTGCAGCATGCTACTACTACGACCACCACTCATGCCCTACACTACATCTGCAAACCAGAATGATCTGTACAGAGCTGTACAGCGCACAAGCTCTACAGCTTGGTCCCTACTAGCCAGTTTGTCACAGTAGCTCCTTACTTTGTGGATATCTGTACAGATACTCACAGACCACCCAGTAAATAACAACTACCTGTGAAATTGCACATTTTTCACTGTCTATGTATGTACAGACACTCACAGAGCACTCGGAGAGCAATCATTGTGCACACATTCATTTATGTACAGTCCACCCAAGGTGTTTAGGAATGATGGCAATATATTCAATCATGTGGTATGGAAACATCAGTATACTAGTAGTAGCAAAATACGAAACAAAAAATGGCTCCCAAACTATGGTAGTACTGTAACTCGGACACAGGAATGCAAAGACTTAGTCGAGGATGATTTGTAGATGGGTGTGTTTGGTCTCCTCAGCGCCATTGAGTTTTAGACATGCGGCCTGGGTGAAAATAATCAGCATCCTAAATTTCAATAAAAAAAGGTTGTTCTTGCCATCCTGTTTCAGCCCATTCCTGAAGTTGTGCTACTAACCTGGGACCGTGATATGGATGTTGAAGAATTTGATCGATCATTCTGGCCATCTGGCGGTATATCGGGCCGTATTCCTTGGCAGAGAACTTGGGATAAGATTTGCCGTGACCATTTTTGATGAGACCGTCGAGGACACAGTTGTACTATAAAAATGTCAATACATGATGTCAAGGCATAAAGTAAGAAAGTACCACAGCGGAAACCAAAGCCAAACATGAGATGGGCAATTGCTTGCAAAAGATATCTGGCCTCTTCCAGGCAATTTGGTATGGCCCTGTGTAAAAGAATCCAATAACTGCGTCACGAAGGCCAGGATGAGCGAAATTCCTTGTTTTGCCCTAGTGATTTTAATGTATGTCGTCAGAGTCAGTGCACAATCACTCACCAATGCATCCAATCCAAACCGTTGTAGAGACTCATGCCTCTCATGGTGTGATATGGCAGTTTCCACTAAGGGAGTATACAGCACCAACTCGCAGCACCACTCTGTGTACTGTCCACAGCAATTCCTATATGAGGCGCAGCTTTCCCGCACTTGCGCGCCCTATAGCGCCAGCCATCCATCCACTGTCCACCAAGCTCCCTAGTGCGTATATTTCCATTTCCTTTATTAGCATAGTGTTCCACCTTTATTTTTATCATGGACTCTCACCCATATATATCCTTACATACCTACTCGGTAGCGCTTCGGCTCCGCATGACCGCGCTTAGGCGCGCTATATAGTGTACGGTCAATTTGGAACTGTCCGAAATTCACAGGGTAAATTTACAGTGCGTCCAGAGGCCTTCAAATTCACCACTGTGAATTACCGTAAATTAACATGTCTGTAAATTAACGCTATTTTACAGGTGAATCAGGTCAAATGTACTGTGAATTACAGTGAATTAGGTGAGTTATTCAACTTTCCACTCGTCCCAAGCAGAAGGGTCAGGGACGGACGGAGACAAGGTTTTTGCGGCCTTCTTTGTTGGTGCAGAACCCGACTGGTGCACACAAATCAATACCGCTGGATGCCGCAAGCACGAACAAATCTTTCTCCACTGTCCTAAACTCTGAAAGAGCAGCTGGACCATCCAACCAATCTGTGCCATTGTCAAACTCTGCTGAGTCCGAGTCCGAGTCTGAGTCCACTGTCCCTGCTTCAGGTGGAGGAGGCATTCGACCAGCAGGAGGCAAATCTTCAGCGGACCGCTTGCCAAGGATAGTGGATTCCATATCATGCCACTTGACGAGAGGTTTGTATGGTGTTTTTAGTTTCTGTGTAGTCAGTATGAGACTGAGAACTTAACACGCGAAAAAATGTTACTCACATTAGAATCAAAGGAATGGTTTCGGGGAGATTTTGAAGATAAAGAGATAGTAACTGTAGCTTATTTCTCATTTCACAATTCATGGTTGTGAATGTTATGCCCTAGCCCTAGTGCAGATACTTTGCAAGATTCACAGATTCACCACCACGGAGACGCCCATCGGATTGGCAAACTCCAAATTCACCCAAATTTACACCCCCAAAATGCCCTTCGAGATTCACATGCTGATTAATGCTAATTTACAGGTGTAAATTTACGCCTGTAAATTTACACCCCTCTATTTGACCGTACACTAGCGCTATATAAGCGCCAGCAGTACATACTATTACTGACTTACTTTTTCACCCATCTTTACTTACCTACTTAATATCTAGAAAGTCGCAGTAGAAACCTATTGATTAGCACATCACATCTCACATCTCTTATCTTGTTTTATATCATCACTTAAGCATAGTCTCTCATTTCTGCATACGCGCACGCGCTTTCCCACGCTTCGCGCTAATATGCGCGCGCGTTCCCGTGCCTTGCGCGCACCTGCGCTTTCTCGCGCCTCACTTCAGCGTGTACCTCTAGATCTTCTTCGCTGCACTCGCTTCCCTTGAGGGTCGAACGCACTTGTCTCCTCAAGTAACGCAGACTAGGCAACACTCGACCTACAACATTTTTATAGATACAGCTAGGAGCCTCTTTTGTTCCTCTCTGTATCGTTGTTTCTACACCGTAAAAACTCGGATTCCAAAAGTAATTGTGAAGCAGCATTCTGGACCCACATTGCACGTTCTTGAGCGGGGACTGACATGGGGGGAACAAGTGAGTATGCAAGAGGTGCTAAGCCTATGGCAGTTTTCTGGAGTTCTGATTGCCAGGTCGAAAGATCATCATATAACTTCAATAAAGACCTATTGTATCAGCGAGACTGTAAATTAAGAGAGCGAAACACATACCAATCGAGCCATGTTACACTTTTGCTCTGGCCAAACCCCTGGATTGCAACATGAAACAAATTAGCGCAAGAAGAAGCAAACACGCACCAGCTTCAAATTGTTTTCCTTCCTTGTCCCAAATGACTAAAGTTGCGATGAGAACTTCAGTTACTGACCCTGGAAGATCATCAACAAAACTCAGGAACAGATCGTCAAGTGCGTGTTCCACACGACATTCTCCCTTGGTGTGCTCAAGGAAGCTTTTCCAGTGCGGCCCATACCAAGCTAATAGAGTAGGTTTGGGCCCATCTTCTGACTGTTTTGTCTTTCTGTTTCTCCGGGGAGCCTGTTGGTCATCAGTGTGCTCGGCTACTTGATGAGGCAGCTCGAGAGTTTCAGGGTTGGGAAGGTGGGGCTGGCCATTTTTCTTGTGGTGGGACTCCAACACATCGCTAGGCTTCGAGGTATGCAAACGATCACTGTGAGCCTTGTTCAGAATAAAAACCATTTGCTCACCTCAGAATGTTGTGTCTGTTGTTGCTGTTGCACTCCTACCTGAAGGATCCAGAGAGCCCTTAAGAGCAAAAAGAATAAGTGCAATGCCAGTAAATCCATGTCAGCATACCTGGGAGTCACTGTTCTGGTGGACGGTCGAGGATTGAGATCTTGCTACAGTGTTTTTATTGAGGCTCGTCTGAGCAGCCATGTCATCCTCATCGTGGGAGTACTGAAAATCGAATTCAGGTGAGAGATGACGAACGACTCGAGGCTGCGAAGGTAGCGATTCGTTTGAAAAGCCTGTAAGATTGAAAGAGGGAACAACATCAGGTGGATCTCAGTACGATAAAGGAAATTACCTGGATGGCCATTGTGACATTGGTACCCATTCTCATTGGTGTGCTCATCCTCGTCTGACTCATCCTCATCCTCTTCCCTCTCCCCATCCTCGTCCTCATCCCCATCCTCGTCCTTGTCCTTGTCTTCATCATCGCTGTCGTTGGTGCTGCTGACTTTGGGTCCGCTGTTCAATAGCTGGGATTCTCGCAGTATAGATTGACGCCTGACATTGTTGTCCTCCTCGAAAAGGGCCGGATCCAAGTTTTGTTCCATGAAGGTGGTGAGTGGCAGTATGATATTGCGTGGGTTTGGATCACGAGCTACTTTCGTAGCATGCTTCTTGACAGCCTTCGAGCCAACAGCGACATGTGGATTGTTAGCCTCGTGAAGACTATGGCCAGCACTGGGAGGAGCAACAAAACCAAACCTTCTGCCAGGTTGATGCATTGAAAGACCAGGACCTGTGTTATCAATGCTCGCAGGACCATTGGTAACCGTGAGTGAACTATAAGGTGGAGGAACCACCTGAATGCAAACATCAGCATTAGTAAAAATGAATACTTACATGCCTGACCTTTGAACGACCCTTCCGTCCTTTACGAGCTGGTTCTGGAGCCTGAGGGTTCACTGGGATATTAGGACTGAGGGACGTGGAGCCCTTGGGAGGACGACTTCGAGACTGAGACTCAAGGACTGCACCAATCTTTTCTAGCTGGCTGTTCCTACCTCCGGTCCCTGCATTGGGGCGGCCAGAATGTCGTGGAGCACCATCTTCAGCTTCAGCAAGGCCAAGGGAAACAAGTGGTACACTGAGTGTTTCGGTGAGGTCCATAGCCTGACGAGATTTTTTGGATACACCTGCCCTGCCAGTTGAAGCATCTGAGCCTTTGTGCTTCGGCCTCTTCTTCTCGGGGCTGTTAATAGCACGAGGAGGCATGATTGCAACTACACGGAGGATAGAGAAAGAGGTGAAGCCTGAGTCTAGTGATTCATCAAGTCGCAAACTCACCAGTCTTTTATATAATAATATCATGTCTCGGCGCCAGGTGGACCAACAGAACGGCCTTGATGTGAGTAATGGACAGTATTACATTTCAAAAATGCGTGCAACATCACACTGAAGCACGTACCATGTAATAATCAATGCTGCATGTTTCGAGTGACTCATCTTGATGAGAATAAATGTGTGAAGTCAAGTTGCCAAGAAACATAATTTATAAGTCATACAAGTCACAACAACCAAAAATGCAGTACATTGGGTCAACGTGAGAATGAGAGTACAGCAAAGTAGCAATGAAAAACGATGTTTACGTTGAATAATCAGCCTGTATGTATGCTAATCATCTGACTTGTTGTCAGTCTCCGAAATACCATCAGCCTTCCAACGCTTGGGTAATTCCATGGGGAAAGATTACGAAGCAGCATGCTTCTCGACACGGTCTGTGAGAATAGCAGCAGATTTTCTGAGCGTCTTGACAGTGGAAATGAGCTCCTCGTCATCCGGAAGGCGGTCAAGATGAGTGTTCAATAATGTAAGGATGGTGTTGAAGGAAACAGGGTTCTCCATGTTGTCCTTCAAAGCCGTACACCACTCCTTGGTGAGAGGGATTAAGTCTTTGAAGTAAGGATGGATCTCATCTACAAGACAGCATTCCTCCTTCTTGGTTGCGAAAAAATTGCCCTTGAAGGCCACGCAGGATTCGAGGTCCATGTTGTTCCAGCGATCAGGTATTGAGTTTCCTATCATATCCTGGTGTACCTGGCCATGGGAGCCACAGAATTTGATGCAAATCCAGATGAAGATGAAGAAAAGTGATTCGAGGTCGTCTGAAAAGCATTGAATGACATGCGATACAGGCAACGCCAAAGTGTTTGAAGACATTTTCAGGATATATTTCGGTTTCTTTCCACCCAGCACTGCCTGTTGTGCATCTGAGAGTTGGGCGAGAAGCCCGCAAGACATGAACGGGATTGTTCCCTGTAGATTGGATGAACAGATCAGTACTAGACGTACTGTAATTAACTGAACGCACTTACTGTACCACCGATGGCATACTTCAGATCTGGGTTGATGCGCACTGCAAACTCCCAGTCGATTAGAAACCCTTTACTACCACCTCCTAACAGATCTACAATCATTGCGTTATTTAAGCTGCAGTCGCGGTATAGAACCTTGCGTTCCTCCACCGCCGTGCATTGAACTGAAATTAGATTTGTCAGTTCAAAGATTGCCAATCAAAAAAAAACACTTTACTGATGACGATGTCCCTCAGCGCTTTCACGAACTCTTTAAGAGTTCGGAACATATGCAGGGGGCGAGCGCAGGGCATCAAGACAAGTCAAATGTGTGAGCGACTGGTCCCTGCAATACTTAGGTGCTGCAGTTGTTTTCGATATTTGCTGGTCACATCGGGTTCTCCATTCGACCTTTCAACCACCCACCAATCCACCAACTCAGGAATGCCAGGGACGCCAGACATGCGCTTCAACATTTCGATCTCATTCAAGATCACCTGATCCTCCTTACCCTGAACCCAATGGTCTTTGATGATGAATTCCTTATCATCCAAAGAGACCAAGTAGCAGACAGTTCCGCGACTAACAAGGCCACGACTCGCAAACAGGATCCTTGTGATCATGTAGATTGTGTCCCTGACACGAATTTTGCCACACAGTTCAGGTGACTGAGCTGAATACAGGAATTGTGAAGGATGGGGTGTAGCAGAATAGATACTGTCAGGCTCCTCAGGCGCTTGGGATGCGAGGTTGAGAAGGGGGGCGCTGGAGATAGCAGTGGCTTGTACCAGGTGAGGATCCTCCAGATTCTTCATAGAAATGTGCGTACCATCATCAGCATGCGACTCTGACTCTGACTCAGACTCGGACTCTGGCTCTGGCTCTGGCTCTGGCTCTGGCTCTGGCTCTGGCTCTGGCTCTGGCTCTGGCTCTGGCTCTGGCTCTGGCTCTGACTCGGGCTCTGGCTCTGGCTCTGGCTCTGGCTCTGACTCGGGCTCTGAGTCAGGATATATTGTCTCGATGACAGCACTTGGTGCACCCTCAACATCATTGGGTGGTGGATAAGGGAGCTCAGACATGGCTGCAGCCATGACGTGATCTGCAGGTTGCCGTTTGGCAGGAAGGTTCTTGATCGGACGATAGTTATTGGCGTGGCGTTGGGGAGGAGAAATGTGTCTTGTAAAGGAGACTGTCAAGTCATAGCCTATGCACTCGAGGCTGCTGAAACGAAGGGCAGCAATAATGTGAGCAACAATGCTTGGTTTTCGGTAGATATTGAAGGCAGGGGACACGACACCACTGGCATGATCGTAGAAAAGGACTCTGAGCTCCCGGTACTTGTTGGTGAGTGATAGTACAAGCGCAAAGCACCTCCAGGGCTGCTCGCTCAGCATGAGATATGCATGACTATCAGCAGCTTTCACGAGTTGCAATGCAGGTTGATATGAACTGTGCATCAGCTCAGCCGATACCCTGATATTCCCCCAATTTGCTGTGATCTCATCTGATAAGAGGAGATCGGGTTTCCACTTCACCTCACTACCAGGTAATGCTTTATGTGTGTGGGCCGCAGTCCACGTGCGCGTCGCAGTGGGGTTGGCTAGTAGTTTGGGCTCTGCCTTCACTAAGCAGATAGCCAAAGTGTTGAAGAATGATGAGAAAATTTCTTCATGAGTTGCTTTTGCGGTTTCGCCAGTCCCTGCATTGCCCTCCGAATCTAAGCTTTCAGGTGGTTGAGAGTGAGTTGTTGATTCAGATTCGTTTGTGGGAGAAAGAGTTGGAAGGTCCCAGTTCCATAGCTGTGCATCAGTATCGTACAATGGCACCAGGTCGTCTGGTGAATTTTTGCTGAATTTTGCTTTGGTACGTTCGTTGTGATAAAGGATGTTTTTGAGTGGGGTCTGGAGCGTAGATAGATCCAGTAGAGGTATGCTGAAAGGCTGAAAGATATGAGAGAGCATGTGTCCCAGCGATTGCGAATCAGAGGGTTCATCTTCCTGCGTAACTAGACGATTTAGTTCCTCGGCCATGTACCATTGTAAGGGCATCACCTGAAACAGTGGCAGGGAGCGAGACCAATGACGACAACTTTATTCCGTAGCCGCCCGTCCTGAAAAATAACTGAGATGGCATTTGTTCGGTATATTCTAAGCTATAATATGACAACAGTGGGAGCAACAAGATGCCCTTATCACATGGCGTCACTACATCCATCAATGCTCGTTGAACTAAGAATATATCAGAAAGAAGCTCGTTGACAACCAATAGCACGAAAGTTAAAAATACAGGCAGGAAGCTACATAGAGAGCGGAAAGAATGTGTTCTTGTCCCAAAATTTATTTACCCAAAACTCTGACGCGTGCTCCATGCTGTTCTGTGAGGTAAAACGGCTGTCTGCACTGGCTCCAAAGTGAGGAATGAGATTAACAGGAGCCTTGATCTGTGTCAGTGGTATAATATCGCCCACTAATGTACCGTTGGAATGTTTCGCCCTTCTGATCGAGTGCAACTGTGTGGCAGGATCACGAGCGCTCATTGTACCATCAAACCGGTACATATGGACAAGGAAACGGTCCTCCCATGACCAATCCGTGTTGATTCTTCCAACTGGACGCATGATAAGTCTAATTTGACCAATTGTGTGACCTGAAAGATAATAGTGAGAATGTATTCAGCATGATAGAAGGTTGTAACATACCACAAAGACCATGAGCAGGCCAAAGGCACCCTAACTCATTGTTCACAATAGCTGAGTCGTACCTACCAGAGTTCCAGACATCAGAAGGCGGCACACAATTCAGGGTCTGCGCGGGCCGTATGATGCTACTGTCGTGAAACTCTGTGTCCTGTAGGCGAAGTTTGAACCAGATTTGAATTTTATCAAATGGCAGGGAAGCAGTAGGTCCAGCCCTCCTGGCTCCCCCAATTGTGTGGACATAATTCTGTCCGTGGGTAGCTTCGCGACGAAGAAAATCAGCAATGGCCAGCCGTAAGTCAGGAAGGCCGAATTTGATAGCAGCATCATTGATGGAGATGGATCTGATGGATGGGGAATACGTGAGATGATAGGCCGTGTGTCCGATGACGAATGTACACAATGGCAGAAGGACAGTCCCAACCTCCTTATGCTGGAGGATCTTCGCAATTGCAAAGTAATTGGTGATTGGGCACAAATGTCCAGGACATTTTATAGTGGCCGTAAATTCCATGGGGAGGTCATCATCATCATCCGCATCAAAGTCAACATCATCACCAATATTGTCATCCTGTAGCCTCGAGCTTGCCATACCATCCACAAGACTCATTGCAAGGTCAAAGCGATGGCACTTATCAACCCGGTTGAGATGTCAACAAATTTGAGGATCATAGTTGTTGTTGTTGCTTGATCACGCAGGGTCTTTAATCTCTGTAATGTGCGCATGCTCTGTTGTGTCTGCAGTCCATTGCATGGCGACACCAGTGTTGCGGATGCTGGGAACTATACTCTGCATGAGCTCCAATTTGGGAATGTACCAGTTATCGATAACTTTGTTCTTGTTGCCTCGACGGAATCCTCCAGCTGTGATAGCATGTTTATTGGCGTGAAATTCATCGAGGGCTCCAGAAATGTGCTTGATGTCGTCTTCATCAATACGTGGTGACTGGATGAGATACCGAAATTCCATCAATGCTCAGACAGCAGTGATCACAGCACTAGGTGCTGCGTCCGCTGTAGAGACTCATGCCTCTCATGGTGTGATATGGCAGTTTCCACTAAGGGAGTATACAGCACCAACTCGCAGCACCACTCTGTGTACTGTCCACAGCAATTCCTATATGAGGCGCAGCTTTCCCGTGCAACGCGCGCACCATTCCCGCGCTTCGCGATGTATATGCGCGCGCGCGTTCCCGCGCTTGCGCGCCCTATAGCGCCAGCCATCCAGATGCATCCATCCACTGTCCACCAAGCTCCCTAGTGCGTATATTTCCATTTCCTTTATTAGCATAGTGTTCCACCTTTATTTTTATCATGGACTCTCACCCATATATATCCTTACATACCTACTCGGTAGCGCTTCGGCTCCGCATGACCGCGCTTAGGCGCACTATATAAGCGCCAGCAGTACATACTATTACTCACTTACTTTTCACCTTACCTTACTTTACCTCCCATTTACCTATTACTACTTACTACTTAGCAGAACATAGTAGATCTCTATTCCTTTACATCTCGCACTCACATCTCTTATCTTGCATTATATCATCACTTAAGCTTAGTCTCTATCATTTCCGCATACGCGCGCGTGTTCCCGCGCCTTGCGCGCACCTGCGCTTCAGCGCATACCTCTAGATCTTTGCTGCACTCACTTCCCCTTTAGGGTCGAACGCACTTGTCTCCTCAAGTAACGCAGACTAGGCAACACTCAACCTACGACATTTTTAGATACAGTTAGGAGCATCTTTTGTTCCTCTCTGTATTGTTGTTTCTACACCGCACTGACTGCAACAATCGAACACTGAATGTCACGTTGAGTTCAACCTGTAACCTGTTTTAGCTTGGAGATACCACCGTAAAAATGACGAAAGCCAGTGACGGGCTGCAACACAGAAAACCGGAAATCAATTTCCATATCCCCAACTGCACAAATCATCCACTTGACATCATGATCGTAGAATTCTCGGTGAATGAGATGCAGAAATTCTGGAGTGAGGAAATGAGACGGTTCACCAAGGGTCCAGTCCTGCCAGAAAGGTTTAGAGACACCATTCAGGCGAAATTTCTGCGCTTCGCGAAAGAAGGCTTCAATGTCATTGGGATCTGCCCTTGTTTGAACGACAGCCAGCTGTGCAAGTGTGGTTGATTTTGTGTGAGGTTCGTGACAGAAAGGGTCTCCGAACTGCTTGAACATGGCCATGGTGACCGGAGATGTTTTCCCACCGACAGTAGCTAGCATCATAGCCTCTGGAGTGTTGACAATATAGCTCGCCAGGGGGGTAAAACAATAGCGGCTATGTCCAACAGGGTCTGATAACATGACTCCTTCACATGCAGCCTATTTGAGCGGATGCAGGACGATATCTAAACATTCATGAATTAAGCGATCCTTGAGTACACCTCGCATGCGTTTATTCTTATGTATAAATTTAGGTACAGGGAGCAAGGCGGTGAGTACAAAGGAGTTGGACAATGTCTTGAGTCGTGTGGACATGTTGATATTCGCAAAGCTGACGAGAAGTGGGTGCGCAACTCTGTCACCCGTCATCGTGGATATATTTGTTTTGTCGGATGATAGAATGGTTCCAAGGAGTGTTGCGCCTTCGGGTAGGGCAGACTGTTGAGAAACCAATAAGTTCAGCGACTGGTGCAAAACATGAATATATACCTGCATATTCCATGCGTCATCGCCTGTCATCCATTCTGAATATACACGACACAAATGTTGTGCAGTAGTATAGACCCTGCGAGGTGTGAAGTCTAACCGATCGTGAAAAAAGGGATGATTCAGAATGGCTGAAATACAGTCCAAGGGATCACGCCAGTACAAAACAATGGGTGATTTGGTGGGATGACTCGTAGAGAGCACTTGGGACATCCAGCGTGGACCACTGGGCAACATTTCTGCTCTGCCTCACAGTTCCTTGGCCGAGGAAAAAGATATTGGAAGACCCTTGATCTTGACAAAAGACTTATCATCGGAATTGTAATGAAAATGAAACAATTTGCTTACTATGTCGAGTGATAAAAAACTGTCTATCTTCCCCATGCTCAATCCTGAGCGCAGTAACCACGATGCAATCTCCCAATCCTTCTGGCCACTGAATGGGTAATAGGGATTCTTGGCACGGTACACGCTATTCTCATCAGAATTGAATAAGTCGAGGAAGGTGTACCCCATGCCATACGTCCGAGAAGATTTGGGATACCGGTCAATGAAATCTGAGGCACCATTTGGAAGTAATCCCTCCTCAGAGGCCTGGCCACCACTCTCACTGCTACCTTCAAATGACTCATCTCTATCTCTGAATATGAACTCAACCTCAGCCTGAGGCCCACCACCGGGAATATTCGGTTCGTCCAAGTCATCTGTATTCATAGAATCGTCAGATAGGTCCTGCAGATGTATTAAATCCTGTAGCCAGGTGCTACATCCTGAGCGAGGCTGGCTCATGTGACGAGCAACAGCAACCTGATCTCTGAAACCGGCTTTACCGCATGAAGGACACTGGAAATTGGACATGATGTCCTCGCAAAGTCCGACACTCATGAGTCGTGAGAAGCCCAATTCATAATCAATAACTTACTCTTTGTTTCTCTAAAATGTCAGCCCCACCAATCAGTCTTAATCTCAGCAATGATATCCCATCATCATCTTCGCGCCTGATGCCTTGTACGCGCACACACCCTGTTCAGCAATGTCCAAGTTGTCACTCGTGTCGTCACGATTCCAGCGGTATTTCTGACCTGTACGATATAGCCAATGGTATCGGGTCAATGGTAAGTCAATCATATTGTATCGCTTTCGCTCTAAGTAACATGGTACTTACAGTCAATCAATGACACCAATGAACTTGAAGCCAACCTCGTCATGGACCTAGCAAGGGTGAGGCGGGACATATTTAGGGCGGAGAAGGTGCTAGCGGATTGTGTAGTGCGAGAACGCGAAATCATGGCGAATCTTTCTAAGCACCAGTCCGATGTTTCGAAGAAAAAGCTCGACAAAGCAGATATAGGATTAGGGTATATGCGAATTACTTTTCAAAAATATGGTCTTTCTCACCGTTCACTTGCGCCATGCAGTTTGCAAGGTAAGTCATATCTGTTCACATTCGCCATTGCAAACTTCATGTCTTATCACAGAACAATCCAACCGTCACGTATCAGTAATTTTAGACTGATGACTCGAGCTATTCTTATTCTTTTGTGTTCAAGTTCGGCGCACGCATTAGTAGTACTAGTATGTACAGTACTACTACTATATATTGGTATTTCATTGAATATAATGTTTGTATCGTAATTGGGGACAATGTGCAAATTCAAGCTAGCAATTCAAAGGAAGTTCCGAGCCTGCTACTACTAAGTACTAAGTACTAGTACTACTAGTAGACTTCAACACTTTAAAAAGATTGAGGCCGTTGAGCTGGAAACCATTGAATTTATTTTGAACAGTCTGACCTGGTTGTGAGCTCTGTGACCACTTTGGTGTCTGGGGCTGTAAAGGCCATATAGCTAGAATGATACATCCAAACTGGACTATAGCCCTAAAACTGTGATACATCATTCAGTCTAATTATCCATGATCCAAATAGATGTATCCCTTGGTGGATCCCAAATGCTAGCATACACAGCCGCATTTTTCGCACTTTTGAAACTCAGCTCCAGGATATATTCCATGTGTGGTAATTCATAAAACATACCCATTTTGGTGGCCTGCAGCCTCCTACATTATTCTCGCACTCCGCATTTTTTGTATTTTTAGCTATACTGTGCCTACATCAGTTAAAAATAGATTGCTTCTCATATTAGGGCCTCCCCACATTATCCCCACACCGCATTTTTAGCCACCTACTGTGGGAATTTCCCACTACTCCAAAAACATCACTCATTTTGGGAATCTCCACAATATCAATTATTCCCACACCCTCCCCACCTCACTGCAGCTTCACCACCACACCACAATAGGTCCCTGTGCATATATAAGTAGTAGTTTAGTATATATATGTATAATATAATATAATAGACTGCTTTTTTGTTTGTTTATGTGACTGCTCCTCCTCTAGGGGCAATTCAACATAGGGTAGGGTATAGAACACTTTCGCATTTTTGCCCCTTTGGTGGGGAAGTGTTCTATGACATTCAGAACATGTTTATGAGCATATATGAGTAGATTCCCATCTTTATTTCACCCCCTGAAGTGTCCTACATCAATAGATATAGCACATATGCAAGAAAACACAGAATATGTTCCCATTCAATTATTTCTAGGTGAACAGACTTGTAAAAATGATTCCCAGCATCTTTTCAACAATAGGAACAATGTATCAGGAGCACAGGACCATAGGACAATATCCTGCTGCATGGTGTAGCCTCCCTCTCCTGGTGGTTTACCCCCTGTGAAACTTTTTCCTGTAGGACCGGACCTCAATTGAGGTAGGGGGTCTATTCCTATGTATATTTGGAGTAGATTTATCATATAGCTGGCCCAGGACACACATAGGATCTTGCTATAGAAACAAAAACATGAAAAATCACACTTTTGACATTTTTGACATTTTTCAGTATCTTACTCTTGCATAGATGATCTAGCCTGTTCATGTATCATTAGAATAGCATATATACTTGCTTTTTATGACAAGGATCAGCCCTACATAGGGCACAAATTTGAGATCTAATGTAAAGAGGGTATTTTTACTGATAAGGAGCCCATATTGTCAAAACATCGAAATTTAATAATCAGATACCTGGAGTAGATTCAGAATACATTCACTATCATATACCTAAATTTACAAAACAATCCAACAATAATGGAGTGTTGAGGAAGTGAAATAGATAAGAAATTGAGTGTGGGAAAGTTCAAAGACCCAAAACATCGAAAATGGTCAGTTGGGCAGTGGTAGGACTTTAATGCTGGGTCAACTCAGATATACACCACATCCCTTCCACCACCCTCCAACCCCAGGGCAGTATGTAGTATAGGTTCCTTTATTAGTCTACCATGTATTCCACATATTTTCAATGAAATATTTGACCTGTATCATATATAAATGGGCCTTGTGTACAAAGATATCAATTGTCACTTTTTACACATATGTCATTTTACTTGTCATTCAGTCAGTCCTTCATGGATCTTTCTAAAACTTCAGATTCATCATTAGGGACATATATGAGAGGTATTCCAGATATCTGATTACTTATCACAGGCTTGATTGCTATGTAGGTTTCTTATCAGTAGAAATACCCTCTTTACATTAGATCTCAAATTTGTGCCCTATGTAGGGCTGATCCTTGCCTCTTTACATTAGATCTCAAATTTGTGCCCTATGTAGGGCTGATCCTTGTCATAAAAAGCAAGTATATATGCTATTCTAATGATACATGAACAGGCTAGATCATCTATGCAAGAGTAAGATACTGAAAAATGTCAAAAATGTCAAAAGTGTGATTTTTCATGTTTTTGTTTCTATAGCAAGATCCTATGTGTGTCCTGGGCCAGCTATATGATAAATCTACTCCAAATATACATAGGAATAGACCCCCTACCTCAATTGAGGTCCGGTCCTACAGGAAAAAGTTTCACAGGGGGTAAACCACCAGGAGAGGGAGGCTACACCATGCAGCAGGATATTGTCCTATGGTCCTGTGCTCCTGATACATTGTTCCTATTGTTGAAAAGATGCTGGGAATCATTTTTACAAGTCTGTTCACCTAGAAATAATTGAATGGGAACATATTCTGTGTTTTCTTGCATATGTGCTATATCTATTGATGTAGGACACTTCAGGGGGTGAAATAAAGATGGGAATCTACTCATATATGCTCATAAACATGTTCTGAATGTCATAGAACACTTCCCCACCAAAGGGGCAAAAATGCGAAAGTGTTCTATACCCTACCCTATGTTGAATTGCCCCTAGAGGAGGAGCAGTCACATAAACAAACAAAAAAGCAGTCTATTATATTATATTATACATATATATACTAAACTACTACTTATATATGCACAGGGACCTATTGTGGTGTGGTGGTGAAGCTGCAGTGAGGTGGGGAGGGTGTGGGAATAATTGATATTGTGGAGATTCCCAAAATGAGTGATGTTTTTGGAGTAGTGGGAAATTCCCACAGTAGGTGGCTAAAAATGCGGTGTGGGGATAATGTGGGGAGGCCCTAATATGAGAAGCAATCTATTTTTAACTGATGTAGGCACAGTATAGCTAAAAATACAAAAAATGCGGAGTGCGAGAATAATGTAGGAGGCTGCAGGCCACCAAAATGGGTATGTTTTATGAATTACCACACATGGAATATATCCTGGAGCTGAGTTTCAAAAGTGCGAAAAATGCGGCTGTGTATGCTAGCATTTGGGATCCACCAAGGGATACATCTATTTGGATCATGGATAATTAGACTGAATGATGTATCACAGTTTTAGGGCTATAGTCCAAAGTGATATATCCATCCACCAAGATGAGGTGGGCTGTATGTTCTGTGAGCTCTGTCGCCACTTTGGGTGGCTGTGGGAAACTGTCGAAAATTACCATATCTGTGAAGAAATTTCTAGTTTGCAGATGTACATCCTACCCTCCATCTCGTGCTTCCTGTCTTGGCCCTCCTTCCACTCTTCTGGTGCTCTCCAGTGTCCTCTGCACATGTTCAAGCCACGTCAGCATTCACTGATGTGCACCAGGCGTGTGCACTAAACACTGGTGGCTGCTGGGATCAGGTGGGGCGTCCCACAGTTCTGGATGATTGTAACGATTTTTGGTTGAATTTGTATTTAGATAGATACACTTTTTGTATATTCAAGTAATTCTTGACATTTTGTGATATTTGCATCCCACATTATCGTCTTCTAGCAAATTTATTCCTAATTCTTGTAATTAGATAGAATTATCTGAATTAGAACTTTTAGCGAAAATTATAACATTTTTTCCCCAGGAGGGTTTTCCTGATGAGAGAAAGTGTTAGTGGGTTACTGAGGAGGGCAGTATATTGGTGGCAGCTATGATGCCGACAGTGTGTGGTGGAGAGACATGGTAGAGAGCTCACTGGCCACATGTTACTGCTGGTAACAAAAATGCTCCAACATAAATGGAAATAAGTCCTTGGCACTGTTGCAAACAGTGAGCAAGTGCGAGAAACAGTGATGCCATACAACAACCTTCATACTACTTCACTTGAAGGTCTCGATGGGCCTGTCATGCCCCAGACTTTGGCTTAGACTTTGTCCTACTAGGTCAGCCATTTCAGAGATGAGTCTAGTGACCTTTTCGTATTTCCAATACGCTCCGCCAGTGTTGGGATCAAATGTTTTGCTAGATTGTGCCTCTATACAAACCGGTATCCGAATCTCTTATCTTTCTAGCAGTTCTAGAGTGACATCAGATGACGGCGGTCAGCCTTGAGGGCGGTTGTCGGAAGTGTTAGCCAACTCAAATCAGTGATTGCGGCCACCCACGCCATGAGTCTCCTGCACTCGAAAGAATGCTCAGCGGGTTGAACCACATCGTCATGTTCACGCTATTGTTACATGCATACGAGTACAAGGACAATTTATGCAATACAGACCTAGAAATTTATCGCAATGCCTCCGACAGCCGCGCACTGGAAACCTCCTATACGGCGATTGAACAGAAGATGTTAGTCAATGATGCTTCATCCATGCGAGGCTTGAAGATCAGGCCGAAAGGCTTCTGGTGTGATACTATGCCAGGGGTAAAGGCGGTGTCGTCGATGGGATCGCTAGGGTCCTCTGCTAGTGTGAAGGACCAGAGGATAAGAGCGACAGCAATGTACACTGATCTGAAAGTGGCGGGTGTATTGAGACAAAGTACTTATCAAGCCTCATTGTCGACTCACCGGTTAGCAACATGCAACCCTGGGCATGCACTAAAATAGGTTCAGCGGAAACTCAGTGAAATAAAGAACTGATCTTACCGTCTCCCAAAACCAAAAGTGAACAGCTTCATATTCTCTTTGATTTCTCCGTCTGCACCGATCCATCGTTGTGGATCGAATACCTCGGGATCGTGGTAGACAGAGGGGTCACGTGCGATGCTCCTGAACCGAAATAAGACTTTGTAAGATGAATCAGACGTGCACCAACCAATGATTTCCGAAGACAGTAGCACCAGCAGGAATGCACATGCCGTTCTGTAGTGATGATGAACTCATATCTAATCTGTGATTGTGTGGAGCATACCCAGATGATATCTTTCGTTGCGCGGTGGGGTAAGCCTGGAATGCCGATCAACCAAATGGCCTTGGATGTACATGGTTGGCTCACCTATCGGATTGACGGGCCTCCATCGAAGAGCTTCCAGAATGAAGGCTTGAACCTGAACAAGCTGCGACCAGTCTTCGAACGTAGGAACTACGGCACAAGGTCAGTCGGTTTTAAACTAGGGTGGTTTAACTTTCATACTAGTCTCTCGGTCAATGATGGCTTCTAGCTCCTCATGTACACGAGCTTGTGCGTGTGGGAAACGCGCAGCAGCCATTAAAACCGTTGAAATCGCGACAGCAGTCTAAGATTCCGCAAGTTAGTTTCACCTGATCTGAGTCTATCGGTTTCTTGGCTTACCGTATCCGAACCCGCTCCGATGAGGGACCCAGAGAGGTATGCTATCTCCGTCTCAGACAGCTGGTTCTCCTCCACGTGTAGAAGGAGATCCTTTGCAACTGAATGAGGGGCGATGTAGCTGCCCTGTTGTTCATGATGAGGTCGATGCAACAACTACACCATGGAAGAAGAGTCTGTACCATTTGACTTTTAACCTCGTTTAGCTGGCTGAATAACATATTGTATTCTTGCCGGCTCCACTCTTTCAGATTTCGCCCATAACCAGGGACATATTTGAGGATGGGGTACTTGTCAACAAGGTATGCGCCTGGAACCATCGCGCTCTGGATTCTTGGGATCATCTTTTGCAGCTGTAGCAAATACGGGTCATTCAACAAAGTAGGGGTTGTTTTCCCATATACGACACGCAAAATTACAGATGCTGCAAAACTATGCGCGAACGTCACTAGCTGAAGTGAGTATGATACTATGGGGACGGACGTACCGCTTGATGTGCTGCTGGTGCAATTTCGGTTCGTGCAGTATGTCCAGAATAATCTCGCGCGCATGCGCGACCTGTACCGGCTCGTAAGACTGAGCGGACCTCACTTGGAGGTGCACATGCGAAGATCTGCGTGGTCGGGCCGGTGAACCGTGAGACAGTCTTTTTCAGAATTAGTTTTAATGTGTTGCTTACTTGCGAAATTTGCGGAGCCTCTCGCCAGAGCCAATTTGGACGAATCGCATTCCTCTTCCAAGGATGTCAGCGCCAGCGACCGAACGAGGCCGGTCTGCGAGGAATGCGCCTTGCTTCTCCATGAGGTCAACTGCTTCCTGTCATTTGTGAATACCCAAATGGTGATATCCCACAGAACGTGGTCATACCTGGTGACGTCCGATGATGACTAGTACATTTTTTCCATCGTTGAGAGATATGATGGGTCCATATTCTTCTATCCACTGAGCAATCTTCCTGGGAGAACTATTGTCGTGAGTTAATATACATCGTTCATCGCATGACCACGACATACTAGTGCCCAGGAGACTCTGACGGACCAGGGGGTAAGGGTAACGCACGGGAGCGAAATGTGCGGGAGTAGACAATGACACCTGATAGACCGAGGATGACTACCCCAATCTGCCAGTTCGACACGGAGAGCATATCAAGCATGGAGGAGATGGGCAAAAATGCTGAGACCTAAAGTGTTATTTTCTCCACCTGGCTTTTGTAGGGTAAGATTGCATTCAACCTAGCCAAGAAAGTTTAGGATTAGTATGAGTTTATCAGGTATATTACGTACTAGATGTACATGAACCCAGTTTCAACAACGCATCGGGGAATTTCATCACCCTATCTCTCACCCGGCCGTGCCCACATGGCCGTCGTGAACCAAGTCATGCACTCCACATTCGGTAACTTGATGGTCAGCACTCGCGGAACGTGGCAGTACGATCAGTTCTAGTAAGTAGTGTCACTGTGTTACAGTACGAGTTTTGCAAATTAGGGCCCGTCCGTTTCGTTTTTTTCGGCAACATGTTCGTGGACCTGTCACGCTGCTGCATAATGCGGCGTAAATCACCGGTTACCGAACGGGCCCTAAGGTTTGTGTGCTGTTCCGAGTAAGACACGAGCAGCTGATCAACTTGCCGAGGGACTGCCACGCAGGAACACCCAGTATGGCGCATTTAAAAATAAGTAAGTGCTGATGGCCATCGCCTGTCAATCAGCGTCAGTCATACGCCATTATTAGATCAGGTACCTCTGGGGTCACGGTCTGTCTGAGTGCCTCTGCTGTCCATCTTCGTTCTAGTAGCCCCTCTGCTCGATATCGGTATGTTTCGCCTGCAATGATTGTACTTCGGCTGCTCTGCCCCATCTGCGCTGTCTGCTCCTGTGTTCATCCCTCAAGCCAGCAGACCACAGAACGCGATATTGTCAGGGATATCATGCGGCTTCTTAGGATGAGCGTCGTGTTGGCTGATACGGCGAGATAAATCGACACTTCAGGATCTCCATAAGCTCTGGTAGGCGTCGTCAAGGGCTCAGACCTTCGTGGTGCCCCTTGAGCACTAAGCTGATTAAAGGAAAGTGTCTTACTTTATATGGCCCGGGCCACGCTTTGCATCTCTGCAATCCAAGAAATCCCCGTAGTGGCAAGCCCACAAACGCTTACTCGAGTAACTCGGGCCGCTCAAGAGGCACCGAACTATAATGCATGTTTGAACTAGAGTATCACCGGTCAGTAGAGTCTTTCCGGACTAGAGGCATATCGGCGACCCCTAGCCATCTGTGATTATGATGAGGGAATACGACTGGCGGACTTGATAGTAGTCAGCAGCCAAATACAAATGCTTAGTGGTTCCGTATTGCAGTATCTTTGACGCACCCCTGGTTGCATCGACCCCATCATTTGATACATTAAGTGCCGCCGTGTTAGGGAGACCTGTGGAATATTTGATCCGCTCTTCGAGACTTCGAGGACAAGCACCCACAAGCACAAAAAGACAAGGCGTGCTTCCTGATGTTGTTCGTATCATAGACACGTGGTTTTTCCTTGACAATCAGTGCTAGTGAATCACCACAAGACACCTCTTTTCAAAATGATGTGCTGAGCGCTGAGCATCGCCTGCCAATCAGCGTGAATCCAGATGCAGTCATGCGCCGTTGATAGATCAGGAACTCCTGGAGCCACGGTGTGTCTGGTCCGAATGACATGGTGCAAGTACAAAGCACATCATGATTGTTTAACATATGTAATCAATTTTTCGCAGTAACCATAAATGGAATAGATATGATAAGTCACACATCGGGGTGAACGATATTTAAAAGAGGTTTATATGTTGTACAAAATGTGAAGACAATATTTAATATTTAAACTGACATAAAGATGGGTGCACGACTTCAAATTTTGGTGGTGTTTTGTGTGTCATCCAAAATATCAAATATTCACAACCATATTCCCACAGACAATATGTCAACAAATATAATAAATATAATCAGATTTTCCATGTCTGCTTCAATTTAAAGTTTGATTCTTACATAAAACTTTGGAGAAAACTTGAAGTTTTGCCAAAGCTTGACATTTAAATCGAGTTTTAATGTCATGTCATCTGTAAAACTTCAAGTTTTCTCCAAAGTTTTACATGGAAATTGAACTTTAAGTTGAAGCAGACATGAAAAATCTGACTATATTTCTTATGTTTGTTGACATATTGTCTGTGGGAATATGGTTGTGAATATTTGATATTTTGGATTACACACAAAACACCACCAAAATTTGAAGTCATGCACCCATCTTTATGTTAGTTTAAATATTAAATATTGTCTTCACATTTTGTACAACATATAAACCTCTTTTAAATATTGTTCACCCCGATGTGTCATGGTCATGACTCATAGGCCTTCAGGCATTCAAGCAACACCCAAGTAGACTCGTGACCAGTCCAAGATTCTATGAGGCAAGCCATCGATAGATGGACTGGTAAATCTGGGTTTGAATTTGGATGTCGAGCAGATTCTCACAGTAACGTGATGTCTGGCCAATGAGAAAACGAGTGCTTTTCGATGAATGTAAACCAAATGATATAATTATCTTGTTATTAACGCGACGCGACGCGAACTATAGTACCTGCAAATTCAATGGACCAATCTTCCATCATCCAAGCCATTCACAATGCTTCTCTTGATGCACTGGATCGTTTTGCACGTGATTTAATCAAAGAACAACTCCCCATCGATTATATTCAGACCCTCAATAATGACGACAAAACGGATGCGCTACGAGCATGCCTCATTGTCTATGTTCTGACGTCAACGGCCATAGTACCACAGTCAATTCCAGCTCGAAGCTGAGTTACATGGGCGATGAAACGTCCATCGAACGATGCCACCCAGCAGCTAATGTTCCATTGTCGAAGTCGACCGCAGACAAGGACTTAACGACTCTTTGTAAGGGCTTAGCAAAAAGCTCACGTGGTTTTGTTATGCCCGAAAAGGCTTATACGTCACGTTACTGTGAGAATTCGCTCGATATCCAAATTCAAACCCAGATTTACCAGTCCGTCTATCGACGGCTGCTCATAGACGGGCTGGTCACCAGTCTAACACCCAAGCACCACCGCTAAGTACTAGACGATGTGGAGTAGCCTACTCCATGCGTTATGCTTCGTTCGTGTTAGATTTGGTGTATTTACATAGTTCAGGCCGCTTCAGGTAGTACTAGCGTAACCACGGCGAACAGACGATCCGAATGATGCGATCTATGCATAATGTTGGTGATCACTAGCAAAATGCAATCCACTTAATGCCACGATGAAACGTAAGACCAACAGCCTGAGGCAAGCTCACTCGACCGCTATCTGCTTGTATGCCTTTTCAATTGAATCGGTTACTTTTGCTCACACAACAGTACTTACTAACCTGCTGTGATATCGGTGTGCCACAGTGTTCTTACGATATCTGTAAATTATAGATATAGCTTGAACAGCGATCACATCCTCACACTCAAACTCCACGATTTTCAAAATTCAGCTTGTCTGCAACAACGCAATCTGGTCGAGGAATCCATCAGGCAGCTAATTTAAGCCGCGATGGAGCCAGATTATCCCCACTCGATCAACTCTCATGATACCCCTTGTTATGAGGCAGACCGAATTCCAAACGTGTACGAAGGCAGTACTACTAAGTAGTCGTTAGGATCAACGCTCGGCGCTCAGCGCTCGGCCTCCGCAATTTAAAAAAATTGGAGTGTTACTTGCGCCCGCGGTCTCAGTTGGCAAGTTCCAAACATCGACCTTCCCAGGGCTCGAGTCGTGTTCCGTAACCTTCGGAACGTCATAAAACACTCTGAAATTTGCGTTATTTGTTCTGAAGAATGAGATTCATATGTACCGAAATTCAGAGGAGAGGTAGATGTGCATCACGTTTCTTATCAATGGTGTATTACTCTAAGACAATTACGACCGATAGTGTGGGCTAAACTTTAGTGAGGAAAGTAAACCTGAAGTTATTGAGAAAAATATACACACTTAAAAGCCCAGATCGCGGTGACCAAGAAGGTGCACAGGACTACACATATAAGTTGACCATCGTGATTCGCACTGTGAAATCAAGATCAATAGACAAGCTGGCCATGCTTTTAGCAAGGTCATTGTAGCATACGTTGTTGCACCAGCTGCCTTCCTCATTGCACGCCACCGCAGTATCACCCTACGCATAGATATGTTGGTGTGGGGGTGAGTCATGCACATAATGGCATGTGGATGATAGGTAGGCAAAGACATTGAGGTATAGAAACTGACGAACCCGAGTCTGAGCAAATGGTGCCCAGTACGTTGGCCAACCTTGGCTATCAGTGGAGTCGAACGCCTTTAAGGGTCCATTGACAGCTAGGAACACGTCGATCATATTGAAGATGGCTTTTCGGTTGTGAGGCAGTATTTCAAACCACTTCTGAAACGTCTGAAGCTGCTATTACATCTGAAAGAGACATAAGAGCGTTTTGCAAGCCTGAACTATCAGGATCTGATTCGAAAATGAAACTGGGCGTGAGTGGTAAAGGATCCTGCGAAGCTAGTATCATTATCGCATACAGAGCATGCGAGAGTTGCACAGACCTGACTTGTCTCAGTGTATGGGAGATTATGCACACTGAAACTTGCAGCTGCAGATTCTCAGGCTTTGTAGAGACGCCGTACTTGAGCTTGGCGTAAGGAGGAGAGAGCACGATATGCTGTGAGGAAAGAGTTGTTGTGATACAGGTGTACGCAGGTGGACACTGTTAAGGTCGGCATATCGTGAACGAACGAACAGGACTATCAACCAAGCTTTACGATATTTCGTTGACCGCCGCCAGTCTGGACGGGTAAATGCATTACCGCGCGTCAGATACAACCTCATGCCGATCATCGGTGCATCTATCGGATACTCACTTTCATTTGCATCTCGAACGAACACCACGATTTGCGGCATTTGCCACACCAGCGCCAGCGGCTGTGCAAGCCACGCGAGAAGACAGATACTGCCAATATCCTCGAAGTTCATCATTTCTCTAAAAATGGACATCGCTAACGCAGTGCATCGCAACCAAGCGCACGAGGAACCAACTCTGTATCGGTACCTGAGCACAAAGAAGATGGACTCAAGATGCCAGTTTTGTCACTCACAAAAGTCGACGCTTCGCCGCCGCAAATGTTCGTTCAAGCAGTGACATTAATATGTCTACTGCGGTTCTAATATTGTGCCCGGTTCAACGTGGGCCGTTATCCAGATATGATGACCATATGACCGACCACCGCCAGGGCATCCAGGACCGAGTTCTCATCGCCGAGGAGGCTATTGCCACAGTGATGTTGTTGTATCACTCAAGTTGAGTTGACTCATCCATCGACGCAGGCATTACAGGACTCTCCCGGCGGTTACGACGTTGAACGCGAGTCATTTACGGGTCCGTTTTCAAAAGTTCCGTTCATGGTTGAATCAATGAGTGTTCTCAATCTCTTTTTTCTTTTTCTTTCTATTTCATTTATTTAATTTAATTTGGACCCCAGTGACACCTATAATTAAATTGCCCAGTCACAGTAACCCCATAAGGTTACGTGCCAAAGCGCTAATCCTCTTTCGAGTCAGCCCTAATAGCAGGATACTATCGGGCAGAAAAACCCGAAGGACGATGCCACTAATATTTATTGTATCAGTGGCTCAGCGCTCAGATTTGTAATTTTGCATTGGCACTAGCTCTGATGAGCTCGTCCGACTCGGAATTTACACGAGGTCAGGCCACCGCGGAAATTGAGTGGAAAACAACGCCCTGCGGTTTCCTATTTAAGGGTCATACTATAGCTACGTATTTAAATAAGTATCTAGAAGATATGAGATATAAGATAGGCTAAGTACGTCTTCCGAATCATTCGACAGCACAGCTTTCGCAAGTATTGTACAGTAGATACAACAGCATCCTGAGATATATCACCAAGACCCGGATATGCATATATATGAGATACAAGGATGTAGTTGGGAACCTGAGGGCCGGGATCCCATTGGGGCGTTCATGGTGTGCGGACTTGGTGGAGAAATTAATGGTGGAGACGTACTTTTGAGAGATCCACGAAGTCAAGGAGACAACAATCGGAACGTCCCTTAAAATCATCATCTGACAAGCATGCTGGTGCGAGCACTGTAGAACAGGGTGTCCGTTGTCGTGGTGCTATCCTCGCTCGGGGACTCCTTGTGGCTTCTTCGGGTGAAATCGTGATCAACATCACCCCCCCAGGAAACATCAGTGTCGCAGCTCTGGCGCATCCACGAAGCTTCCGAGTGAAGCGAAGAGACAGGTCTTGTGGTTTCAGTTTGGGGTTCGTACATGCTGCTGAGTCCAAACCACCCGCAAACATCCCAACCAGAACCTCGCTTCCCACACCCTCCATCAAGATCAAGGCCACCACCGTGAGGACCGAGGCTCGCAGGAGAATCTGACCGAGCAAAAGGCGTAAAGAGTGAAGGTAGAGATGCTGCTGGAAGGTTATCCCCAGGCTCAGGTGTAGTACTCGGCGTAGGAAGCTGTGCAGTAGCAGCACATGGTTTTTCTGTGCCGTCCTTAGCCTCCAAACACTGGTTCACCACACATTCCAAAACCTTTGTGACTTTCTGGCGATCTGCACCGAGGGATAGGGTCCAGTCATCCCATTGTGCTACTTGTAGAGCTTTATCGGCTTCATGAAGGGCAGCGTCCTCTGAAGGAGGCGTTGGCACACATATGCCACTCCCTGGTACATCGATGCAGAAAGGCAGCGATAATGTCCAGTCTGCACATGCAGGAGGGATAAGTGTAGCCTTCGGTATGGCTCCACTTCGCAGTAAGGGAGCAGATCTTCTCCGCTCCCGCGGAACTGTTAAAAACGGTATTGTAGAGACAGCACTCGACTTCCTCCTTGGTTTCTTTGATGGGCTTGCAGGTTCGGAGTTTGCCTCAGCATGAATCTGCACGCGTTTTTGAGGTGAATTGGAACAACTGAGTGTCCCTTTTGAACGCCGAGTGCTTGGTACCAGTATGCTCTTCATGAGTCGTACTTGAGCTTCCATGTCATCGGCAGCCTCTATTATTCCAACACTCGCACGCTTGTCCAGGATAGGGGAAGTGGCATTGGACATGCTATTATTGGTGGGGGAACACGGAGAAAGTTCTCTCTTTCCCCCTACTTTCGAAGGGGAGGAAGGCGGACTTGGTAGACTCGAGGGAAGAGGAATCACGATGCGTCCTGTAGCACCCCAGCTTAAACGAGAAGGAAGTCGCAGGCTTCCAGGAGAAGGAGGAATCACAACTGTGCCCGAAGGCGAGTCAGTACGCACAGGAGTACGTGCACGTTTTGAGGAAGTCGGGTTGGTCGTTGGAAGAGGAACTGGGGCGTTGGGGGGCGTGATAATATCCGAATTTCGTGCCGTTAAAGCGGGTAGTGGAGGAAGGGGGCTACTGGGTGGAGGTCCCGGCAATGGCGGTGTCAGCATGGAACGGGAGCCAGCCCGTGCACGAGACCAAGGAAAAGACGAAGTCGTTGAGGTAGACGATCTGGATGCGCTAGATGAGGCCGAAGGAACGTAGGATGCAGGCTGGCATGATATAGGTATGGATGAAGTAGGAGATGGGAGGGAGCACGTAGAGATGGAACCTTCAGTATCAGAGGGTACATGAGGTGATACTCCGACCGCTGGTTGAAGGCAGAGGGATGCAATCTCTTGAGGAGGAAGAACCAGTGTCAATGCTGAGGGCCGTCGTCTTGTTTTAGCCTGGACAGTACTATCACTACTTCTATGCGATAAAATGGTGAATCCAGTCGCTCGAGGTGTGACATTATCATCAATAGATTCGACGACATTGCATTCGGTTACTGGGGTACCCGACCCCATTTCCGTGGCATCCGAACTTGTCGTTGCTCCTTTGCATGTATTACTCGATGATGATTTATTACCAAATAGGAGCTGCAGGGGTGAACGCGGTGTGGGTGGAAAGTGAGTCGTTTGTATCGGAGAAAGCCGAGAATGTGTTGGTGAGGGGGATCTCCTTGTACTGAGGGCTACATTTCCCGTCTCCATGCATTCTGCGAGGCGCTTGGAGAAACGCTCAGACGTAGGTATCACTGAACCAAGACTAGATGTCGAAGACATGCTAGTCAGTGCTCTCGAAGGTGATAAAACGGCAGAAGTGACACTGCATCCAGATGACGAGCGAGAACGATTTAATGGGACACTTGAGATGTCTTCCACCTGCGTAACATGAATATGAGTGTTAGAGTACAGAGTCATATACGCACTGTATGTTCCTCAGCTCTGTGAGACCTATGGGGCGATAAACGCGATAAACGCCAGGTAAATGCCATCTTGCGGGGGCTCGGTGTGACAGGCTCGTCTACGTGTTTTAGTATGGGCGAACGTGGAACGAGAGGTAGATGTGACGATGAGCGGGAGAACAAGCGGTGAAACGTTGAGGTTTTTTGTTTTTCCGGGGCCGAAGGGAGTGGATCGTGAAGGATAGTGTCGGAAACGTTGACGTTTTCAAGTCTTTCGATGTCAAGAGACTCGCTGAGAATATGATTTAACTCATTTATGGATAGAGTTGGCGGCCTGCGGGTACAGAACATTCTAATCGAAGGAGTGACTGAGTGAGTGTTTGAAAGAGTTGGACAGACAATTAAAATAATAAAGATCGGCGAGGCGGACAGAGTCAAGGCATTCCTCGCAGAACGTGAAGTCAGGGTTGTAGGAGCCTTACCCGTTCTAGAACTAATGTAATATACAATACGTACTGCTACTAGTAGTAACTTCGTAATTCGAGATGAACCTTCTCGTCGGAAATATCGCTTAACTTGATGGGCGTCTACTATGATACTTAGGCGGGGAACTACAGCAGTAGCTGCACTGGAGTACTTTGAATAGATGGTCGAATACAGGGTGAGCGACGCGTAATACAAAGAAGCAAGCCATGAAAATAGTCGACGGGCTGGTTGAGTTGATCGGGGCGAATAGTCGTCAACCTAAAACACGAGGCAGATTACCTTCCAATGTACTAATCGGCTTAAGGTACGTGCATTACCTCAGAGGTCGAGACCTCCAGCACCGCTCGGTAAGGTCATTAAGCACAACCTTAGTATCACCTATGTACAACCTCCAACCTGCGCCCTACGCGCTAGGCCCAACCTCAGCGCTGTCTTCACGCCGCACCACACCTCCCGCCCCGTCGGGCCATCAGGAAAACACGGGAGTGTTTATTTAGCTTTATTCTACTTATCTGACCCGTAAGCCGGCTCAAATTTGGTCACTCTCCAACTAAGAAGATGTTTTTTTTACGAAAGCTCGTACAACTTTAATGACGTGGACAAGAGGTCCAAGTTTGCTGTTCGAGATGGTGTTTGATGGTAATGGTACCGGCACAGGCTCATATTTTGGAATATATGGCGGCGTTGTCGGTGGGGTAATGTAGAACGAGTTTGTCGGAGGGAAGCGGGCATTGGTGGAGAACGACGGTGGACATCGGCACTAGAAGCGCGCCTTCACTCACCGGATAAGGATGTGATGGAACGAGTGGAGTTGCGGTGCGAGGGCGCATATGCATGGACTGATAAGACAGTATGTTATGTTCTGAAGAATAGAAAGATATGTAATGAACAACCGGATTCGTAAGTTAAAGTTTAGGTGGCGACTATCATGTAGACGACATGTCATTACCGTTCACGATGTTGGCGTTAACGAGCGCCACGGTCAACCTGCCCTGTTGGTGGTCAGGAGGTTAGTCGCGTTGTCGCCGCTGTTCCTACTACTCGGGCGAAAACTTCAGCTGACGAGGTTTTCGAGGTCTTGTCATAAAGTTCACATTGAGTTCTTACTTACTTTGTTTTTGTCACGGTCAACATTAATATTTAGGAGCCGAAGCACTCCAGAAGAACACTTATTTACCATTTGATTGGTCCCAGCACCTCAGCCTATTGGCCAGCCTCACACTCGGAGCCACCTTCTGGACCCCCGGGCGGTACCGGGTATCTATGATCATTATAGACGACTCCCAGTTTTCCAGTCTCTGAATCTGATATCTCAGCATAATTTCACTTTACCAGTCTTAGCACAGCTGCCAGAAACTGATTACATGGATTCTCGCACTAAGCGCTAAGCAAGGAAGGCACTCTGGAAATTTTCACGGTACAACGTGCGTACCAAACTTTTCTCGTCATCGACGCTCATGACTCGGAGCTTACGTCGAACTTGTGTTATAGTCGCGGAAATTGAATGACTGAATGATCTTCAAACTTAAGGAATTTTCTTTCAGAGATCATTTGCGATCTAGTAGGACCCGAATTGCCATTTCAAAAGACTTTAACGTTAACTCGAGTTATAGACACATCTTCCAATTTTCCGTTCTGACGAGTTAATTTCACTTGTATTTTGACAGATCGTATTAGGGCATTTGTTTGTCGACTCTCTTGGCCTTGATTCCATTCGAGGACAATGCAGTGTCTTGAGTGTTACGATTGTTTGAAAGTCGTACAATGCGGCTTATTTGGGT